TATAATCGAATATTTTCCTTCGACGAGAACAACCGGGACTTATCGTTTAATGTTATTATTTACCGTTTCATTCGGGATATTTATCGCCTTAATTCGAGACTAATTAAGAGGGGAGGTCGATATTTTATCTCCCGTGACGCGGAAGAGGAACAGTTGACAGGCAACAAGCCGGAAAGGAGAAGTCGAAGGGCAATTAAATATGATGGAGCACCGGGTGATGGGAAGCATATTTCTATACTAATCGCTTAATGAAAAATCGATCTCAACGTGGGCCACTTATCAATTACAACTTCGTCGAACAGTAATGGGGTTAGTGACTCTTTTATATTAACTCCGTTCAAGGAAATTCAATTTATACAATAACCTTTATAGTCAGCAACAATAGTACTCGAAAGTTATGCCTCCCTATTGCTAAAAAATACACAATAAATGTTACGCATTTGTAATTTGTTTGCATATTGTTAAATATTTTTTTAATTTCATTGCAAATATATTATATACATTAGATATTTAGTTGTTTCGAATTCCATTTAATTCAAATATTCAGTAATTTATTTCGTTATGTAAATATGTGAAAATGTATAAATTAAAAATTAATAGATATCTAGTTTTTTTAAATTACATTTGATTCAAACGTTTAATAATTTATTTTATTATGGAAATATTTAAAAATGAATTGATTAAATATTTAAAAATGTATGGGATAAACTATATATTGTACTTAGTTTCTTATTACTGGAAATTATTCTTAGTTTTTAGTTACTCGCTTATTCACAGGATAGACGCACGGTGTCCGATTTCTTAGTGAAAACCGGTTCCATTTCCGTAATAATGAAATTAGCGAAATATAAATTAATGAAGAAATTTCTACTAACATTCAAAGTAAAAATAAATTTGTAAAAGAAATTCTTGAATATAGTAAAATGAATAATATCATTGTCAATCTATTAATTAATGCAGACTTCTCGAAAAATAAAAACTTCTCAAGTGAAATACCTGTCCTCCATTCGCAAAACAATAATCACAACTTCCAGAAGCAATCATAGCTTCGAAAACTCCCAAGAAACAAACCTACGGTATCCAATATCTTGGCCAGCATTTCCTCTAATTCCTGAGAACAAAATTTTGAAAATCCCCACGGGCAGATTGTCCCTGCTAGTCAAATGAAACGAAAACTTTCTCGCGCAGAGTATTGGATCGATGCAAAAGTTTTGACGTTTTTATATGGGAAGTAAAAAGAAGAGTCCCGCAAATATTTTTTATTGCCTAAATTCTCGCGTAGAACATTGGATCGATGCAAAAGTTTTGACGTTTTTGTATAAGAAATAAAAAGAAGAGTCTCGCAAATATTTTCATTGACTTAATCAATTATATAATTCCCATAATTGCAATTACTGTCTCCCATGTTCCATTATTGTAAAAATGTTCTAGATTCCCAAGAGAAAAATGAGTCCAGTGATATTTTTACTTGCTCCAAAAAACGTCGAAATTTTTGCATTCACTCAATATTCTCTCAAATATCTTGCGAGATTGGCAGCGGAATTTCCGTGCAGCCCGCAATCAAACTTCGCCTATAGAATCTTTCGTTCCTTCCACCGGGCCGGAAACTGCAATGATGCCTGCTTAAATGACACTAAAATCCGTACTCAAAACTTCATCTCAGTAGCCAAAGATAGAGAAAGAATACAAAGCAAAGAAAAAAGACACATCAATAAGATGCTGCGATTATGAAAAGTAAACATCCAATAAAGAAAATTGCATTTGCAGTCATTTTCGTTGTATCTTAACACGTTGACTGCCACGAAAAACATCAGCGTTTTATGTATTACGTATTCCCTCTGTAGCAAAAATGAAGAAGAAGATTATTAATTATTTCCTATCTCAATTCTTACGTTACATTGTTACCTAGTCACTTACGCTACAGAGAATTTTAATTCAACGTCAATTATCTTACAAGCTATGATTATTACCTTGTAATTTGGGAACTCAAGTAATCGGTGACCGCCGTGGCAGTCAACGTGTTAATAATTGTAACATTAACGAGTAGTCGAGAAAACGAGCCCAAACAAAATTAAATATACGAATTTTCAAAATTAATAAAACTAGTCCGATTTGCTTCGTGATTGGACTCATTTTAATCCAAAGAATCCCAGCAATCCATTGGTGTTACATTTATAAAGTTGAGGTGAACACGAGTGACAATGAAATTTTCTCTTATGTTTATTTATTTTTGTTTAGTACTAGGTTTACGGAGCGCGTCAATTTGACGCACACTGAATTTTGTAAACATCATTTGGTAAATGTTTCGGTCGGTTTTGGTTGATCCGGTTACACGAATATATATCCTAATTGTCTATTTTTAAATTTATAATTTTCAAAATCTAAATAGGCGAATGTCAACTGTTCTAGGAACAATAGAATAAACTGTACAATAAATGCCCGTAAACCTAGTGTTAGTTGCGGTGTAGCTTCGAAGTATCGAGTCTCGACCGCCGCTAGTCTCGTTTTGTCTATTCTCTTACTTCGTCGAGCCATGTTCGAGTAAAAAACTGTATCCTGCTCACGAAAACGCCACTACTGGCTCCTAAGTTTTGTGATATTTAGGCGGGT